TAGTGAGTGTGGGAAGACCTTCAGTCGGGGTTATCATCTTATTCTCCACCACAGAACACATACGGGCGAAAAGCCGTACGAATGCAAGGAGTGTTGGAAGGCGTTCAGCAGATACTCACAGCTGATTTCTCATCAGAGTGTTCATATCGGAGTTAAACCCTATGACTGCAAAGAGTGTGGGAAAGCCTTCAGGCTGCTCTCACAGCTTACACAGCACCAGAGCATCCACGCTGGCGAGAAGCCCTACACCTGTAAGGAGTGTGGGAAGTCTTTTAGGTTGCGTCAGAAACTTACTCTACACCAGAGCATCCACACTGGTGAAAAGCCCTTTGAATGTAAGGAGTGTAGGAAGGCCTTTCGACTGAATTCTTCTCTGATCCAACATCTGCGAATTCACTCTGGTGAGAAACCTCCATAATGCTTCAACATACTTATTCTACAGTTGGTCCTAAATATAAACAAATGTGGGGGAGAATAACACCTCAACTCCATTACTTCAGTTATATTAAAATATTCAGTTGCTCTGGGCTGTAATTTTTTTCATTTGTGAAACAGTAATCTAAAACTGGCAAAAAGGGCCACAAAGTCTTGAAAACTCCATGAAGTTCTCAATCCTTACCCCTTTCTTGGAATACAGGCAGATGTCAGTTTGGCCACAGTTTGTGTCTGTGCTGCTGTCGGGTCCAGGCTTTACTGCTAAGCTTGCTGCAACCCAGAATACTCTCTTAAGACCTGAACTGTCGTATATGAAAATCTGGCTGAAGAGACCATGTGAAGAGGCCCTGAGACCACACAGACAGACAGAGACCTTTGCTGGAGCTGGACTCTGGAACTCTGCTCTGTAGGCCAGGCTGGCCTCAAACTCAGAGCTCTGCCTGCCTCTGCCTCCCAAGGACTGGGATTAAAGGTGTGTGCTATCACTGCCCAACCAAGCAAGATCATTTTTATCAATTTTTTAATATATTTTAAATATTTTAATTTTTATCAATATATTTTTCAGGATTACACTGGATGCTGCCATTGAGAGGGAAAGCCTTCACTGCCAGTTTACAGTATCTTCAACCAATAAAATGTGCTCCTCCTAGCTGGAATGTGGGTGGAGGTGTTTTTGAGGGTAACTCACGCTGGCCTTGAACTCTTGATATTCCTGCCTCCACTTCCTGGACCTAATATGCGTTTTAATATTTTCTTGATTAATAATGTGTTGAATATCTTTATCTATTCCCTGACTAAACAAAGCGACTTGCCTATGTTTCTGTTTTTTTTGTTTTGTCTCATTCTGTTTTTGAGGTGGGTCTTGCTATAACCAAGGTTGGTTTCAAATGATTGGTAATTCTCTTGCCTCTCCTCCCAGGTGCTGGGATACAGATAGGAGCCACCACTCCCAGCAACATGTTCCTTGATAAAATAAATCCCAGGTGGCACACGCCTTTAATCCCAGCACTCAGAAGGCAGGAGGCAGAAGCATGTGGATCTCTGTGATTTCAAGGCCAGCCTGATCTACAAAGCAAGTTCCAGGACAGCCAGGGCAACACAGAGAAACCCTGTCTTGAAAATTTAAGAAAAGAAATTCATACCAGAATTTTAATCTTCTTTTAAAAAGATTTATTTTTATTTCATGTGTAAAGGTTTGCCTACATATATATGAGCCACGACATCCCTGGTGCCTGTGGAGACCATAAGAAAGCTTTAGATTCTCTGGAAGTGGAGTTATAGACAATTGTAAACCACCATATGTGGCCTCTCTGCAAGAGCTATAAGTGCTTTTCATCATTAAG